AAGTCACGTGGAGCCGAGAAACCAAGGCAAAGGTTCACTTGGACAATGAAAGAGGAAGGTCTAGTTGAACCACAGACTTGTTCACGGGAGCCAGGAAAGCCCCAGGACATAGCGAGGGTCTAGCTGGACCACAGTAAGGCATGGCGGGCGTTCAAAAGATACAGAAGTAAAAGAGAGGGTCTGCTAGACCAAAGGACAGGATAGGTTGGGGGTCGAGGTTGACCGCAGACAAGGACAGGTTGTGGTCGTGTAAGTCCGCAGACCAGATAGGGGTGGTCATGGCGGACCGCAGAACAGGACAGTCAGGGCCAGAGGGAGACCGCAGAATAGACTTAGTTGCGGAGGGCCCCTCACAGAACGACCTGACCGGGTTCGCTCAGACCGGGAAACAGATGGTCACATGGGTGTCCCTGACTGGTCAGGTTAGCCTTGCTGAACGGACCACCGTCGCTTGACGGGTCAGCTCAGACCGAGCACTTGCTATTAACTAGTATAGTTGCGAGTGACCAGTTGCGGGATCGCGAAATGGAAAGGTAGTCAGCTTGACTGGCCCCGTGAGACCTCGAAACAGAGTGTTGTCAGCTTGACTGGTCCATCCGGACATCTTTTGGGAAATGGATGTGGTCCCGTTAGACCAGGAAACAGACACGTTAGGCCAGGTCACGTTCACCTAGAAGATTAGATTTAAGGGAGACTGTAAGGAACAATGGTGGTCCCCTGCAAGGGGACACTGAAGTGCCCTTCCAACATTGCCAGAAGGGAAAACACCACCACCAGTTATATGCGTGCTTACCAGCTCTTTATGGCTTCACAGATCTTGGCTTGAGAGTGCTTTGCTTTGCTTGCTTGCTTGCTTGTTATGGTCACGGCGAAAGTGGAACGTCACAGCAGACGATGACCACCACCACCCTATCAGCTGCCGGCTTGTCACAGGAATGCCTTGGTTAGCTGCTGCAGCTCTAGCAGTTATTCTAGGTTGAGAATAATGGGGAGGTGGATCCTGAGATGTTGTGGTATAGATTCAAAACCAGCACAGCGGTAATCAGTGCAAGCCACCCGCCAGCGAGGCCCTCCATATTGGGAGTGTGTAGGACCGCCTCTATTAGAGCTCGGAGTACGCGCCACGTCCGGAGCAGCTTGGCCGGCTGTAGGACGTCTGGAGACCAGAATTGCAGAGACAGTTAGCAACCTGCCACGGTGATGTGAAGCTAGAGTGAGTGTTCAGAGAACTCAGGAAGGTAACATCCAACTCGACAGCTGGTGCTGAACCTGCGAAGATAGGGCGGTTAACATGCAGAACGGCAGCAAAGCAGATAGCGGCTGCCGTAGTCAAGAGGATCACCACTCTGTTCATAATCCCAGTTTTAAGAAACATGCCGACTCTTGCTTCCTTATATCATGAGGCGTGACTGGAGTCCGCTAGAAGGTCGCGTTAGGCTAGTATTAGTGTTAGCTTGACTGGTCCGGTTAGCCCGCAACATCTCCATGAAGTCAGCTGGACTGTTCACATAAGACCACAAACTTAACTTGATCCCAGGTTGGCAGGTCAACTGACGGACCTCCTTCATCAGAACTGCAAATGGGTCAGGTGAGACCAGATTATTTTAGGAGTCTATCACTGCCATGCAAGGACGTTTAGGGCCACGAGCGAAGATCCCCTTGAATAAACGGTGCGGACTACTTAGGGCTGGAAAAAAACATTGCACGAATGATACCTGATGCCACGGGCCACCGGGCAATCCTTGAAGTTGGTGAATGTGGTGGTTGCAGCAGCCCAACTTCCCATTGGTGGCAGAGATGAATAGGAGACACCTTGGTTTGTAGTTGCAGTAGCTGCCCCTAAATAATTCCCTGAGTACTGTTGGGGCTACCTTCCTTAATACAGGTGTTCTGCAAGGACACATACATGTGTTCAGTTTGCAAAATATATCTGCCAGACTTCACAAGTTAATACTTCTTTGTGGAGCAGAAGTGGAGATTAGCTAACGTTCTTTGCCTCAACTGAATGGAGGTGATCCTACATATTTATTTACCTTTTGCAGGTCTTTGTACAGCAGGGCAAGTAGCCAAGTGGTAAGATATTCTGTTTACGAAGCCAGACTTCGAATCCAACACCCGGCACTGATTTATTTGTCTTTTTGACGGCGTGTCCGGCTGACCGCTGCCCCCCTGACATGCAAGGGGAGGCGAAGGCCAGTTCATTGCTTCTTGCAGCTTTAATTTTATTTTGTATCGCACTATATTCGCACAAATTTGCCTCAGAGGTTTTTACAGTCTGTACGCATGTGACGTCCTTTTTCCAGAAACCCTCACATCGGCACAGGAAAATCTACCCAAACAATAAAAAAGTATTTGATGGGAAGAATAAAGGGAAGAAACCTTTAGAGAGACACAGGACGATCCTCCCTGGGACGGAGAGACTGCGATGAACGTAAAATATGTATAATACATTAAATTCAACCGACAGAAATGATTCAAATTAACATATTATCTCATCATATGGGTTCATGACCATTTCCTGCTCGTCAGCGGAGAGAAAAGAAAGAAATAAACTTCCTTTTAAGTTTATTTGCCATTATACTGTTCAATTCTGGTGTCGGTGATCGACTCTTCCGCCTTCTAACGTAAAGGCTGGCCCATGCTTCAGTGTCTGCGTCTTTACGCACCGTTGTGTCAACGCACTCGTTTCAATTCATCGTTCAAAAAGGCTTGCGTATGTTGCAGAGCAATTCACTGCCAGAACTATAGGTGGAGTAACGTTTTTGGTCGAAGACGACC